AACCAGGGTTTTTAAAACAAACAAAATAACAAAAAATAATTGAATTATGTTTTACATTTGGTTCGAATGGAAGTTCTACCAAAATCGACAAGGGATTGATCACTTACAATTAGTTTATCACACCCCTATAACCTTAGGATTGCGAATGAATAACAAAATTAAAAATATTTTGCATAAAATTTTGAGAATGGCACTTTTGTAATTATCATTACAATTTCCTGATTTAAAAAAAGAAAAAACATAAAGAGAATCAATAAAGCAAAAATAGTCCAACTTTTTTATAATATAACACACAGAAGTTATATTTAATTACAATCCATTTTTCTTTTTTGGGTTGGAATTCATTCATTTCAACGAAACCATTAAAACAATTAATACATAAAAAGACAGTATGACTTTAACAAACAGGTACTCCACACAAGTAACATCCAGTTCTAATTCTTGATTTACATTTTCCATCGCATAGTTTGCAATAAACTAGACTGTTGATTTCTGAACAAAACGGATGTATTTTTGATTTGCATTTGTCATCCTCCCGATTTGCAATATTAATAAAACAAATTTTTTCATCAATTAGACTAAAAATGGGACGATAACACATTTTTTCATTCACAGGTCGTCCTATTAATTCTGAACTCAGTCGTGTTGCATTTATTTCTTTCTATGTAAAAAGGTTTCTTTTAACAATAGAATCTCTGATTCTTGCTGACAACCTGATTCGTTTTTTTACCCAAGGTTTTACCAAACTGTTCGCCAAATTAATCAAGAAGTTTCTACTGAAAAGGTGATAATAGTTAATTGCCATCAAATCTGTTTTATTATAAAACATCGCCAGATCCATCTTCTTGTACATCGTTTACAAGAGTAACTTATTACCATCTTATCAATACAATCCGCGCCTCCCATGTTTTATTATAACAGTCTTGCACTACAAACATTCCAATTGATTTGTTATAACACATTTGTTATTTTTTGTTGATAAAAAAGTGACAGCTTTGTATTGTTTGTCAAAATAATTTAGTAAGAAAAAGTCAAAAGTCTGTTTTTGTAGTTTCTGAACAGCAAATTGAATTAAGTTTTAAGGCAATAAAACTTTTACAAGTTTGTTTTGTTTTAAACAATTTGGGAACAATAACAACGTTCTTTGCGACAAGTTCCAATCATATCAATGTCGAGCTGTTTGAGTTTTAATGCCAATTCAAGGGTAGTAAACAAATTATCTACGTATAAAATAAAGTAGTTTCCTAAATAAGGAGATACCATTTTCCTCACTTTCACCATACTTGCCTAAAAATGGTTTGGCGTTTACTATCATACCAGTAACATTATCGACCATAAGCCATAGTTTTATGCCATATTTGCCAGGTTTCGATGGCATGTATTGTCTAAACTTGCAATTTCCATAGTAATTAACCAACTGTTCATTTATACATATACTTCCTGATATTTGTTTGTTATTGTAACCGTTGCCAATAGATTTTAAAAAGAAGTTAAATATGTCTCTGAATTTGTCAAATCCCGTTTAATCTTCAAGCATAACTATTTCTTTAAGAGCAACTGTTGATAAACTCTTTAACTCATTTTCAGTTTCATCCAAGTTGAATTTTTTGTTTCCTGTATTGTCTTTGCTGTCTTCTTTTTCTTTGTAGTTGACTTCACAAAGTTCGCCATATTTTTACACTTTTCACTTTTATCCACTTCACCGTTTTCAGTTTAATCACCCCTGTCTGTGTCATTTCCGTCATCATCATCTTTATCACTATCATCATCTGTTGAACTTGCGCTCGAACTGTCATCGACTTCCAAAATTAATGACTCTTTCTCTCTCTCAGAATTAAATTGTGAAACATGCGAATATAATGATTTCCCCAATTTTGACTTCTTAATTTCAGTCAACTTTTTGCTTATCGATGTCTTCATGGATGAATCAGTTTGTTTTTGTTTTATTCTTAAAAGGAGTCTGTTCTTTGCGTTTTTATCAATTCTAATTTTGATATCTGAAGGAATTATATTAAATTCATTGTTGATTCAGACTTCAACCAACGGTTTTCAATCAAAAACATTTAATTTACAACGATACACGTTTGAGATATGTTACTTTAAAAAATTTACTTAACTATCATTTTCATTTTTTTGTTGAAAAATATACATAATTATTAAATTGTATTTTAATAATATCAACGTATCAATTAAAATGTTACAGGAAGGATTTATCAAAATGTCTCATTCCGTTTTGCTTATAACATGTATATAATTATAATCATATGTGTTTTCGTGTTAAAGAGATTATTTTTTAAATCACAAATAAATAAAACTTGTAAAAATTTATGTTGTTAAAAACATGACATCAAACTAGAACTGTAAAATTTGAATTAAATTATAAATATCAGTTATTTTTACACACATTTTAGTTTATGAAAACATACAAAGACAGTTATATAAGTGTGTTATATTACCTATATTTCTGGACTTCAAAGGGTTAATACCTGTTTTATTAAAAACATAAAAAACCAGAATTTTAATTGTCATACAAAATGAATAGAAACAGTTTTGTATATTAATTGTGTATGGCGCAAATGTTAAACATAACGTGTATAGAACGAAAATAATGAGACAAGCCCACTTGTGTTATTCAAAGACCCTTTCGCTGCAAAATTTTGGTAAACAGGAGATACAGTGAATATTCGATAAGAGGGTTATTCGATATAAGGATTTATTCGATAAATGGTAATACATAAACCAAATTGTCATTAAGTTGAAAAAAAATTAAAATAATATTTAAAATTATTTTAAAAACAAATGAGTTTTTCATCTAAAACCGAAATAATGTTAATTAACGTGTCGTTGGAACGTGTTGAATTATGACAAAACAACGCATGTTTATTTTGAAAACCAAAAGTTGTCATATTGCTCTTCATATGTTCGTTTTAATGTTGTTTATGTTGTCTGTCAATATTTTGATTCTATAACGGACGTTTTGTGTTTTAATAAACACTAATAAAATAAAGCATTTGTTTTTCATATTATAAATCACAAAAATTTTATAAAAAATGGCAAAAATATTTTTTTGGGTGAAAATATAATTTGGATTTATGTTGAGACAAAAAACAAATTGTGGTATTTTTTGTTAATTATTCAAGTTTTTATTATTTGACCTTATATCGAATAAGACTGGAACATAGACTGGACTATTATCGAATATATACTGAAGTTGAATGGTTCAAATTAAAAAACTCATTGAAAATAATTGTGCAATTTTGGTTATAGTTTAGTTATAGTATTTTAATTAGAGTATTAGTTTTAAAAAAAATGTTTGTGTTTTTGTGTTTTGTTTTATAAAAACGTATAATTGTTTTATTACAATTATACTATAAACAAAGTTGCACTCACATTTCAAATTTCTTCCTTTTTATATTTAACATTGATTTTTAATTTAATTACTTTATAACACTTTTACTATTTTAATATTAAATGGGTTTGTTTTAATAATAAAATATAGTTCAAATAATGAAATTTGCTTATCTTCTTTTGTTCACTTTGGCATAAAGGTCTTCTCTCGGATCTCTGCCTGTCTCAATATTTCTTTTTCTACTACTTCTTCTTTCTATTGCTTCAGAAGGATCTTCATAATCACTGGACCTTCTGTCACGATACAAAGTTCTTGGTGGTGGTTGTGGTACCTCTCTGCTTGTGATGGGAAAGTTCTAGGTGGTGGTAGTGGAGGCTCTGTATTTGGTATGAAAGATCTGGGTGCGGGTACTGGTGGGAGGGGACGTGCTTGTACTTGTTTTGGAGAAGAAGTTGCAGCAATAGCATTTTCAACAGAAAAGTTTATTCCTGAGTCATCAAATCCATTACTTTCTTCAATGTTGTAAAACTTTTGTAATTTGTCGTTCTTCGCAATAATATATTGCAAAAATGATTCAGTGTCATCAATTGCAACTCTCAATTGGTCGTCGTTTTTGAAAAGGGGGAATTCATTTAATATTTTTAGGAGTCTCAAGATCTTACCTACAAAAGTTCGAGGAATCAAAAATTTGGATTGCCAATCAGTTTTAGTCCCACTTTTTATTGAAGATTTTTGGATCTTTTCGATATTTGAAGCAGCTTTCATCGCAAAATCACATATCTTTGAAGTTTTTGCACCCATGTTGAAAACATTGGTAATAACTAAAGCCAGATTGTGTAGATCAGTTATTGTAATACTACCCTTTGAAAGCATCGCTTCAAGGGTATGAGAAATCATTTCGACATTTGCCTTGACAAGATAAAAAGAGTTGGAATTC